GGCAGGGTATCGTGGGTAACCTGCGGCGGTTGCAGGGGCCTGCCATCTATCGCCTCGAGAACCAATGGGGTAACTCGAGCCTGCAGGGGAATGGAGTACTGGGCAGCAAACAAGCAGTCCATAAACAACCCGCCGGCCCCAGAGTCTACTAATGCCTGGGCCGTCACCGAGCCCTCCCCCCAAGAGAGGACAACAGTGATCAGTGGTTTATTTTTGCGGGACGCCGGGGACGAGGAAACTCCACCCAAGATCTGTCGCTGACAGGATCTCAGGTGCGAGCATTTCCCGGACGGACCGGACAGGACTGCCGAAAATGCCCACCGAGTCCACAGTACAGGCAGCGACCCTCCCGACGCCAAGCTGCCCTCTCCCCCTCGGAAAGGTGAGCAAACCCCAGCTGCATGGGCTCACCGCCAGACAAGCCATCCCCAGGAGGTGTGGGAGGAACGTGTGGGACAGAAAACGCAGGCGCCAGTCAGTTGGGAGGCCTCCACAGGCGCTCCTTGAGTGAAGGCCTCTCCCTGAGCCTGGTGTCAATCAGGATTAGGAAGGAAATGAGTGCTTTGAGCTCCACAGGCAGTTCCTTGGCTGCAATCTCGTCCTTCAATGCATCTGAAAGACCATGAGAAAAAGCAGCCACCAGAGCCTCATTGTTCCAGCCCACCTCTGCCGCCAGGGTACGAAACTCTATGGCGTACTCGGCAACGGCGTACTCGGTCTGTGAACCCTGATGCATGGACATGAGCAGCTTGGCAGCCGAGGCGGAGCGAGCTGGCATGTCGAATACCCTACGGAAGGCGTCGACAAAACCGGCAAACTCGTGACTCTCCGGGTTATTGTTCTCCCATAAGGGATTTGCCCAGGCCAAGGCCTTGTCCGAGAGCAGCGAGATTAGGAAGCCCACCTTTGGCCTCTCAGTAGGAAAAGGGTGGGGTATTAACTCAAAATAAATGCCCACCTGGTTGAGGAACCAATGACACTGACTCGGCTCACACCCCAAAGCGCTGTGGAAAAGGGGCTGAACCAGTCATACCTCTGAGCACCGCAGGTGCAGCTGTGGCGGTAGGCGCAACAACCAGAGCAGCAGCGGGAGCGACCACCGGAGTGACAACCGGCCTAATAGCACCAGGAGCAAGGTGCGCGGTGCGTGCAAGCAGAGTCTGCAATGCCTGAGCGAACTGATCCAACAAGAGATCCTCTTGATCTCTTGACCTGGCGACTAACATGGGGAGCGAAGGCGTACCTGCAACGTCAGGATTCATGGCATTCGTGTAATGTCAGGGCAGGAGCGATTGAATGGGCAGGCAGGCCTTATGGTAAGGTCACGCAGCGACTGACGACAGCCACTACCCACAGACCAGAGTCCCTCAGGGCGCGGAGTCCAAGCCCCAGGCTGCCCTTCACCAGGGCCCCTGATGGTGGGGATGGACTTGACGCAGCCTGAGACCAGGTCGCGGCCCCCGAGTAACCCCAGCTGCGGTAATGACAACCACCAATGGCGTACCGCTGGTGGGAGCTAGATGGGAAAACGTATAGCGTGGTCAGACAGGCCGGGTCTATAACAACGGAGCGGACAGTACAAGACGGTAGGCAAAGAATACTCAGGTCACGGGCTGGGTTCAGCAATGGGAGGGTCAGGTACAGGGATAAAGCAGAGAATAGTCTTATCCAAGCCGAGTCGGTTACCAGGAGCGCAACGAGAACAGAACAAGAGCTTGCTGCAAGGGAACATACAGGACACGAATGCAAAAATGCACGAGCAGCACAACTCTGAGGAAAGGTAGGAGCTTGACACACATGGACTGGATCATCCTTAAAATGTAAGAGATGGGGTCCTATGAGGTAGGAGCGGGGGTGAAGTCTACCCATTTGTATGCTGCCATGAAGTTTGTCAAGAAATAGAATTATCAAAGGGATGGAGGGAGATTTGAGGGGATGAAGGGAGGGAGGAGCAATGGGAAAGTAGGGAGAGGAGAGTTAGGATAGAGAAGTGAGAGGCTTCACACCGCTATCCCAGGGGTCGGGAGTATGCAGAAACAGATTTTTCTTGGGCTCAAGCGGCGTGAACTCCAAGGTTCCACCATGTGATTGCATTGATTAAGGCACCCCAAGAAGGGGGTCCGAGGCATTGCTCAGGAGAATCGAGATGCATTCAAGTTGAATATTTTTTGTATTTAGTCCAGTAGACTAGTAGTATAATGTATTTCATGATTGGATAGTGGCCCAAGGCAGCATAACTCCTATTCGGCGTACCTGGGATTAATGGGGCACCTCAGCCTAATTCAACACTTTTTGAATCCTGGCATGGTTAATACTAGGGTGACATTGTAGCTGCTGGTGGGGCCATAGAGAAGAAGGAGAAAATTGCAGGCTACAGAGCTCCAACGGAGAAGGGAATGCAGGAGTGAAGGCATTGGAGTGTAAGGCATGGGACTTTATGGAGTTCCAGTGATTAAGGAAAGAAAGACTCAAAGCGTCAAACTGAAAAGTTAAAGCCTTATATTTATTCATAAAAACTGATACATCTGAAGAGCACATAGTCCAACCAAGAACGAATCTGAATCAAAGCTTTCAAATGGATCACACTGTAGTACTGGGGTTCATTTTAACCCTAGCAGCAGAAAGAAACCAGAGAATCTGCTTTGTAGTAACCTGATGCCCAAGTGACTCAGATCCCCAGTCACTGACCGACCGTGTGATGTCCAGTTTACAGAAAATGTCCAAATCTGGTCTGAGCCTTCTACAGACTACTGAATATTAGTGAAATGAGAGGTAGGAAACTACAACCAACTAAGGAATTTACTGTTCCTTGAGGAAGAAGAGAAGCATAGAGAACAGGCTTCCCAAAAATGGTGGCCAGATGAAGCCAATGGCAAGGGTTCCATAGGAGGACATAACATTATTCTACCTGGTGGGCTACAGACTGAAAAAATTCCAACTTTAGAGGCTGACACTTGGCATGTAGAACAAGCTTCCCACAAATGGTGGCCAGAGTTGGCCACCATTGGCCAACGAATGGCATGGGTTCCGTAAGAGGACATGCCATTATTCTACGTGGTGGGCTACAGACTGATAAAATTCTGACTTTAGAGGCTGACACAAGGTATGTAGAAAAAGCATCCCACAAATGGTGGCCAGATGAAAACCAATGGCAAGGGTTGTGTAGGAGGACATGGCATTATGGCACCTGGTGGGCCACAGACTGAAAAAATTCTAAATTTAGAGGCTGACACTTTTCGGACAAGGTATATAGAACAAGCTTCCCACAAATGGTGGCCAGCATGGGTTCCATAGGAGGACAAGGCATTATTCTACCTGATGGGCTACAGAGTCATAAATTCTAACTTTAGTGGCTGACACTTTTTGAACAAAGCATGTAGAAAAAGCATCCCACAAAATGGTGGCCAGATGAAGACCGATGGCAAGGGTTGTGTAGGAGGACATGACATTATTTTACCTAGTGGGCTACAGACTCAAAAGTTCTAACTTTAGAGGCTGACACTTTTTGAACAAGGCATGTAGAACAAACTTCCTACAAATGGTGGCCAGATGTAGACTGATGGCAAGGGTAGTGTAGGGGGACATGACATTATTTTACCAGGTGGGCTACAGACTCAAAACGTTCTTACTTTAGAGGTTGACACTTTTCGAACAGGGAATGTAGAACAAGCTTCCCACAAATGGTGGCCAGAAGAAGACAAATTGTATGGGTTCAGTAGGAGGACATGGCAATATTCTACCTGATGGGTTGCAGACTCATAAATTCTAACTTTAGAGGCTGACACTTTTCGAACAAGGCATGTAGAACAAGCTTCCTACAAATGGTGGCCAGCATGGGTTCCGTAGGAGGACATGGCATTATTCTACCTGATGGGCTACAGAGTCATAAATTCTAACTTTAGAGGCTGACACTTTTCGAACAAGGCATGTAGAACAAGCTTCCTACAAATGGTGGCCAGATGAAGAGCAATGGCAATGGTTGTGTAGGACATGACATTATTTTACCTGGTGGGTTATAGACTCAAAAGTTCTAATTTTAGAAGTTGACACTTTTCAAACAAGGCATGTAGAACAAGCTTCCACAAATGGTGGTCAGAAAAAGACGAATGGCATGGGTTTCGTAAAAGGACATGGACATGGCATTATTTTACCTGGTGGGCTACAGAGTCAAAAGTTCTAAGTTTAGAGGTTGACACTTTTTGAACAAGGCATGTAGAACAAGCTTCCCACAAATGGTGGCCACATGAAGAGCAAAGGCAAGGGTTCCGTAGGAGGACATGGCATTTTTTCTACCTGGTAACACGTACTGGGAATTGGAATTGTCCCGTTAGTTTGGAAAAGTTTTTCCAGTGTAGGCTGCAACCTGGAGGTCCCACGGTGATGCAGAGGGCTTAAAATGGTTGTAAACCTCAGACATGAAACACAAACAAAGAAAATCCCTCTACTTACCATGACTCCTTCGTTGGTCCATGACCAGTGTTGGATATTTCTGTGCTTACTCATGGGCACGTTACAGGGATTTGTATTTTTTTGTAACAACCAGACAAAGGGGTCCTAATGATATATATCCTCATTTATTTTCTAGAGATCTTTATGATCCACTATATCTGAAAGGAAATGCATAGTTGTTAAATATTTTTTTTTTTATCTACCATAGTCAGTAGGTTGCGTTCTTCAAGTGATACCAACCATTTTCTCGAACCCGTTCTTCAGCTTGATCGTAGAACAGGACTAAAGGGTATGAAGATCAGATTACAAACACTGGAGAACGAGTCACGGAGAAGGGACTGTATAACATTTTGGGAGGCATGGGATCGTGTGGGACATCTTTAATACCCAACTTCTCCAGTGATAGAACGATACACCCTACAAAATACCACCATACTTTTGTCATTTGTCTCCAGCAGGCTCGGGGTCTTTCACGTTGAATTAGATTCACTTTCTAGGTTAGCCGTCCCCTCCGGGCAGGAAAGCGACTTCTCCTCAGTGTGGACTTTCATGTGATTATTCAGGTGACCTTTTTGCGCAAAACTTTTCCTGCAGTGGGAACAGGAAAAGGGTCTCTCGCCAGTGTGACCCCTCTCGTGTACAATAAGCTGTGACTTCTTTATGAAGCATTTCCCGCAGCGCATGCAGGAGAAGATCTTCTCCCCGGTGTGGAACCTCTGGTGTTGGAGGAGTTCGTATTTTACTTTGAACGCCTTGTCGCACTCTGAGCAGGCATAAGGACGCTCTGCCGTGTGCCTCCTCTGGTGCGTAAGGAGCTGTCCCTTCTGTATGAAACATTTCCCGCATTCTGAACAGGTGAAGGGCTTCTCGCCGGTGTGGCATTTCAGATGGGTGTTGAGACTTCCTTTCTGTGAGAAGCATTTGCCGCACTCGGAGCAGGAAAAGGGCTTCTCTCCGGTGTGAACCCTCCGATGTATAAGGAGTTGCGCCTTCGTTATAAATACATAGTCGCACTCCGAGCACAAGAAGAGTTTCTCGCTGTTGGGAACGTTCCGCTGTAGCTCAAATTCTGTGGTCAATGATCGGTCGCTCTGTAAGCAGGAGAAGGCATTCTTGTCTATGTGAATTTTCCGATGTTGGTCAAGGCAGAATTTCTGGGTGAAGCATTTGCCGCACTCTGGACAGGTATACGGACGCTCCCCTGTGTGAGTTCGATGGTGTTTGAGGAGCGTTTGTTTCCGCGTGAACCCTTTCCCACACTCTGTACACGTATACGGCATTTCACCCGTGTGGGTGCGCTGGTGTGTGATCAGAGTATCTTTCCGGGTATAACTCTTCCCGCACATCGTACACGAATACGGCATTTCCCCCGTGTGGACTCGCTGGTGTATTATAAGGGCTCTCTTTTCTTTGAAACACTTCCCGCACTCGGAACACGAAAAAGGAGTCTCGCCTCTGTGTGCTTTGAGATGCGTCATGAGATAAGATTTCCATTTAAAGCTCTGGCCGCACTCCGAGCATGGGAAAGGTCTCTCGTCCTTGTGGACCCTCTCGTGTAGGACAAGGCTTGATTTGTCCCTGAAAGATTTCCCGCACTCTGGACATGGAAAGGGCCGCACTCCGGAGTGATTATTCTGATGTCTGATGAGGTGTGCCTTCCTCGTGAAGTATTTATCACACTCGGAACATGAAAATATCTTATCGCTGTGTTGAACAGTACGTGGTTTATTAGAAGGTTTTCCCAATTGGGTAACAGAATGGAATTTTCCAGAAGACTTCTCAGAATTTGAGGGATCTTTTGATCTGTTAATATGATAAGACTTGTCCTGTGAATTTAGAGGAGCAGGCATCGCTTCTCGAGATATGAAACTAGCCTCAGATTTATAATCCGAAGATAGACCATGACGGCCCTCTGAAGTATCCCAGACATAGCGTCCATCTGTTGGGAATAATTTTTTGAAGTTAGTATCAAAGCAATGTACTTTTTCATATTTCGTAATCGGGACCTCCTTCCTCCTGCCGGTGACTCCTCTAGTGATATAAAGATCTATATAGAGGAATCAGGACCTCCTTCTTCTGCTGGTGACCTCTCTAGTGATATAAAGATCTATATAGAGGAATCAGGACCTCCTTCCTCCTGCTGGTGACTCCTCTAGTGATATAAAGATCTATATAGAGGATCAGGACCTCCTTCCTCCTGCTGGTGACCCCTCTAGTGATATAAAGATCTATATAGAAGAATCAGGACCTCCTTTCTCCTGACGGTGACCCCTCTAGTGATATAAAGATCTATATAGAGGAATCAGGACCTCCTTCCTCCTGCTGGTGACTCCTCTAGTGATATAGAGATCTATATAGAGGAATCAGGACCTCCTTCCTCCTGCTGGTGACCCCTCTAGTGATATAAAGATCTATATAGAAGAATCAGGACCTCCTTTCTCCTGACGGTGACCCCTCTAGTGATATAAAGATCTATATAGAGGAATCGAAACCTGCTTCCTTCTGCCGGTGACCCCTCTAGTGACATAAAGATCTATATAGAGGAATTAGGACCTCCTTTCTCCTGACGGTGACCCCTCTAGTGATATAAAGATCTATATAGAGGAATCGGGACCTCCTTCCTTCTGCTGGTGACCCCTCTAGTGACATAAAGATCTATATAGAGGAATCAGGACCTCCTTCTGCTGGTGACCCCTCTAGTGAGATAAAGATCTATATAGAGGAATCAGGACCTCCTTCCTCCTGCCGGTGACCCCTCTAGTGATATAGAGATCTACATAAAGGGATCAGGACCTCCTTCCTCCTGCCGGTGACCCCTCTAGTGATATAAATATCTATATAGAGGAATCAGGACCTCCTTCCTCCTGCTGGCGATCCGTCTAGTGATATAAAGATCTATACAGAAGAATCAGGACCTCCTTCTACTTGCTGGTGACCCCTCTAGTGACATAAAAATCTATATAGAGGAATCAGGACCCCTTCTCTAGTGATCTCTCTAGTGATAAAAATCTATATAGAGGAATCAGGACCTCCTTCTTCTGCTAGTGATCTCTCTAGTGATATAAAGATCTATATAGAGGAATCAAGACCTCCTTTCTCCTGCCGGTGACCCCTCTAGTGGCAAAGATCTATATAGAGGGATCAGGACCTCCTTCCTCCTGCTGGTGACCTCCTTTCATGATAGAAACTTTTATATAAATAGAGTGTGAATAAGGTTCAGGAGGTCATTATTTTCAATATGAAACTAAGAACCAAGAACAAGGGGACATGACCTCAAACTAGGAAAATTAAAAAAAATATTCTCATAAAGAATTATTTTGATAAAAGTGTAGTTGATACTTCAGATAACCAAAGATCTACACTCAGACATGAAGCCTAAAAATCATAAAACAATAAAGGGGTAGACCTCGATGGACCACTTGGTCTTCTGCAGTCACCCATGGTGAAGAACAACATTATGGACATTTCCAGTCTAGAAATCACCATTCCACGAGGATAGATGATCGAAAAATTTCAACGACTACAAAGATTGAGTGCACACAAATTCAGACAAAGGGTGTTTAGTGACAGTTAAAAACCAAACCATGCTCCTATTAATGGAAGGTAAATGGTCCAGAACTGATGAGGGTTAAAACGAGAAGACCTCCTCAGCTCCATCATACGATCTGTACGGTGATCACTTCAATAGAAAATTGGTATCTCTTCCTTGCTGGACCAACATTTATCATCCACATCATCCAGGACTCACCAGTGCTGATATTTAGAGAGGGATCCTCATCTTTAATGATCACCTTCAACACCTCCTCCTCCTCTTCCTCCTCTTCTGTAGGCGGCTGATCACCACCGATAGATGTCTCTTCTTCTTCCTCTTTGACTTCAACTTTTATGTCCATCAGGTCCTCGGCCTAGACCGATAGAGACTACTTAGCAACCAGCATGGACAGTAAACGCTATGGTCATTATTACGCAATAGCATAGCATATAGAGTGACTGTGTCAGGAGTATGTGACATACAGCACAAGGTATAAAGTACAGAGCTCAGGAGTATGCAAGTAGCCCGTAGTGTATTCAGTGCAGGGGTCGGGAGTATGTAATGTACAAAATAGCACATTTACTGCTGGGGTGAAGACTATGTAATGTACCAAACAGGCCTGGTGTCAGTAGTCTGTAACATACAGCACAAGGTATAAAGTACAGAGCTCATGAATATGCAAGTACCCCTTAGTGTATTCAGTGCAGGGGTCAGGAGTATGTAATGTACAAAATAGCATACAAATTACAGGTGTCAATATTCAGCACCATACAGCATAGGGTACAAAGTGCAGAGATCAGGAATATGAATGTGTAAACCAGTGTATACAGTGCAGGAATCAGGAGTTTCTGATGTACAACACAGCATATGGAGTACAGGTGTCCATATTATGTAACATACAGCACAAAGTACCAAAGAGAGATCTCGAAAGTATGTAATGTACTGCCTAGTGTATACTGTGCAGGGATAAGAAGTATGTCATGTACAATCTAATGTATATAGTGAGATCAGAGATTCTGCTCTCTCCTGGCTCTCATCCTACCTGTCACAACGCTCTTTCAGCGTTACCTATAATGCTACCACCTCCCCCTCACTCCCCCTCTCTGTTGGGGTCCCTCAAGGCTCCGTCCTCGGGTCCCTTCTCTTCTCCATCTACACCTCCTCCCTTGGCCAACTCATACACTCTCACGGCTTCAACTACCACCTATATGCCGACGACACACAAATCTATCTCTCAACCCCCCACCTCACCCCCTCATTCTCCGCCCGAATCACACACCTACTGAGTGACATATCTGATTGGATGTTGCTCCACTTCCTTAAACTGAACCTCTCCAAAACAGAGTTTCTTGTGTCCCCCCCAGCCTGGACACCACCCCCCATTGACTTCTCCATCATGTCCAACAACGCCACCATCGAACCCGCCCCGCAGACCAGAGTACTTGGTGTCATTCTGGACTCCAACCTATCCTTCCAGCCCCAAGTCCAATCTTTAAACAAACTCGTGCAGACTCCACCTCCGCAACATCGCCAAAATACACACGTTCCTAACCCCAGAAACCACTAAACAGCTCATCCAATCCCTCATCATATCACGACTCGACTACTGCAACTCCCTCCTTACTGGCCTGCCTCGCCGTTGGCTATCCCCGCTTCAGTCCATCCTGAATACGGCTGCCAGACTCATTCACCTTTCCAACCGCTCTGTTTTCCGCCACCCCCCTCTGCCAATCCCTCCACTGGCTTCCGATTGCGCAACGGATCAAATTCAAAATCCTAACACTGACGTACAAAGCTGTCCACCATACTGCCCCAAATTACATCACTGACCTAATATCCAAGTACCACCCAGCACGCACACTCCGCTCCTCACAAGACCTCCTTCTCTCTAGTTCCCTGGTCTCCTCCTCCCATGCCCACCTCCAGGACTTCTCCAGGGTGTCACCCATCCTCTGGAACTCCCTGCCCCAACCCATCAGATTATCACCTACTCTCCTTTAGGTGCACCCTGAAAACCCACCTCTTCAGGGAAGCCTACCCCACCCCCTGCTAACTTGCCGACCTCCTCCACTCTTCTCCTGTGCCACCATCCCCTCCCTCCTAGATTGTAAGCTCGAAAGAGCAGGGCCCTCAATCCCCTCATGTTTTGCATTGTATTGTTATTGTTCTGTCACATGTTCTGTCCCCCTTTGTAATGTACAGCGCTGAGCGAACTTTCGGCGCTTTATAAATACTGTATAATAATAATAATAGTGCAGGGATCAGGAGTATGTAGTGTACAATCTAATGTATATAGTGCATGAATCAGGAGTATGTAATGTACAGCCTAGTGTATACAGTGCAGGGATCAGGAGTATGTAATGTACAGCCTAGTGTATACAGTGCAGGGATCAGGAGCATGTAATGTACAGCCTAGTGTACACAGTGCAGGGATCAGGAGTATGTAATGTACAATCTAATGTAGATAGTGCAGGAATCTATGTAATGTACAGCCCTAGTGTATACAGTGCAGGGATCAGGAGTATGTAATGTACAGCCTAGTGTACACAGTGCAGGGATCAGGAGTATGTAATGTACAGCCTAGTGTATACAGTGCAGGGATCAGAGGAGCATGTAATGTACAGCCTAGTGTACACAGTGCAGGGATCAGGAGCATGTAAGGTACAGCCTAGTGTACACAGTGCAGGGATCAGGAGCATGTAATGTACAGCCTAGTGTACACAGTGGCAGGGATCAGGAGCGGTGTAATGTACAGCCTAGTGTACACAGTGCAGGGATCATGGAGTATGTAATGTATAAAGAGCCTAGTGGTAATACAGTGCAGGAATCAGGAGTATATAATGTATAGCCTAGTGCAGGGGTAGGCAACTTATGCGGCTCTCCAGCTGTTGCAGGACTACAAATCCATCATGGCCTTTGCAAGTCATAGCTGTAACTGTCAGTTTTGTAATGTTGCATGGATGCCTCATGGGAAATGTAGTTCCACAACAGCAGTGGAGATGCCGCAGGTTGCCGTACCCATGGCCTAGTGTATACAGTGCAGGAATCAGGAGTATATAATGTATAGCCTAGTGTATACAGTGCAGGAATCAGGATATTACGTGGGTGGCGGTGTATTATCATATTATTACATTAGGTGTGTGTGTAGCAGCCTCTCCTGGAAATAAAAAGACGGAATGTGGAATATACAG